GGAACATCCGAGTGTGCGGGTGGGCAAGTCCTGGCTACAGAGTATTTCAGAGAGGTCTGCAAACCCCTGGGACCCCTAACCTTGCCACCTGGGTCTGCGCTGTGGCCAGCATTGTTGGGGGAGGCGGGGGGCAGCTAGGGACGGCCAGAGGCCCCAACCCAGGCTGGCTGCCGGTGCACTGCTTGCAGCCTGCAGTGTCCCAGCTGCACCTGCCTTGGGAGCTCAGTGCTGGATGTGTGGGCACCTCCGTGTTGGCTGAAAATCTAAGACTGAGGCTGCTGGAGGGACCCGCCCACCATGCCCACCTGGGGCTGAGGGCATCCTCCAGCGGGCAAGCTCCTGTGCCGCCGAGGGACATGGAATGACCAGTGCAGGCTGCCTCCCACAGACTCTCATGATCCGCGACTGGTGGATGTGCATGATCATCAGCGTGATGTTTGAGTTCCTGGAGTACAGCCTGGAGCACCAGCTGCCCAACTTCAGCGAGTGCTGGTGGGACCACGTAGGTGCGGGGGGGTGGGCGGGGTGGACAGTGTGGGTAGGGCGGGCGGGGGGGGCGGGTGGGGAGGGGGGGGGGGGCGGGGGGGCTGGTGGACCACGTGGGGGGGTCAGGGAAAGGGGGGCACTGATGGACCATGAGGGTGCCAGGGTCCCAGTGTGGGCTGGGGGACCACATGGGTGTGGGGGCCTGGGTGCTGGGCCTGTCCTGGGGTGGGGCCAGGTTGCCCTGGCCTCCCCTGGATGAGCCCAGGCACACAGCATCACCTCTCCTGGTTCCTGCCCAGTGGATCATGGATGTGCTTGTCTGTAACGGGCTGGGCATCTACTGCGGCATGAAGACCCTTGAGTGGCTGTCCCTGAAGACCTACAAGTGGCAGGGCCTCTGGAACATTCCAACCTATAAGTACATCCCCGGAGCCAGGGAGGGGGCGGGGGATTGTGGGCCTGAGGCCCAGGCCTGACTGCATGCAGCTCAGGAGCAGTGGGGGGTAGTGTCTGCCTCCTGGACCTGCTGCCATCCTCAGGAAGCAGCTGCTGGGTTCTGTCATTTTTACTTTGAGATTTTCAGAAGAAACAAAGCAGGCATGGTGGTGCACCTGAAGTCCCCCGCCGCGGGAGGCCGGGGCGGGAGGAGCACCTGAGCCGGTTCACGCCAGCCTGGGCAACACAGCGAGACCCCGACTCCAAGAAAGAAAAAGGAGACCAAAGACTTGGGGAACAGCGGGAGAGAGGCTCCCCTGCAGCCTGAGTGCCTGGAGCAGGGGACAGCCCCGTGAGGGGTGGGGCTGGGCGGAGGCAGTGGAGCAGCTCTGGGTGCAGAGGCAGCGGCCTGGGCCGGCAGCGGCCTGGGCCGCATCCTTAGGCTGGCCACTCTGGTCCCCAGGGGCAAGATGAAGAGGATTGCCTTCCAGTTCACGCCCTACAGCTGGGTCCGCTTCGAGTGGAAGCCTGCCTCCAGCCTGCGCCGCTGGCTGGCCGTGTGTGGCATCATCCTGGTGGTAAGGCTGGGCTGCCTGAGGGTGTGCCTGGCCAGTGTCCTGCGCAGGCTGACCCTCCCTGTCCCCCAGTTCCTGCTGGCAGAGCTGAACACCTTCTACTTGAAGTTCGTGCTGTGGATGCCCCCCGAGCACTACCTGGTTCTGCTCCGACTGGTCTTCTTCGTGAACGTGGGTGGCGTGGCCATGCGTGAGATCTACGATTTCATGGATGACCTGTGAGCGCCGCCTGCCAGGCCGAGGCCGGGAGGCACCCCTGGGGTGGGGGAGGCCTGATGCCTGGGCAGGCCTGGCCAGCTGCCATCTTCTCCACAGGAAGCCCCACAAGAAGCTGGGCCAGCAGGCTTGGCTGGCGGCAGCCATCACAGCCACAGAGCTGCTGATCGTGGTGAAGTACGACCCACACACGCTGACCCTGTCCCTGCCCTTCTACATCTCCCAGTGCTGGACGCTCGGCTCCGTCCTGGTGCTCACCTGGACCGTCTGGCGCTTCTTCCTGCGGTGAGCAGCGGCATGGGCTGTCTGCCTGGCTCCAGGGCCACGGGGTTTGGCTGTGGGTGGTGTGTGTCGCCTCTTGCTTTGCTGAGGTGGCCAGGGTCTGTGCCTGCCCATTCCTCAAGTCATCTGGAGAAGATGGCTCTGGGCAACCCCATAGCCCCCCATCACTGGAGATCCATCCTCATGTGGTAGGTCTGGCTCCTGAGGATCCAGGTGGCCTGGCCATGGCCCCCGCCCAGCCCCTCCAAGAGTTGTGTCCCATGTGGCTTCCTCCTGGCCAAGGTGCCTAGGGGTCTGTGAGGCCTGCGCTGGGTGTTGGTGTGTGAGCAGTGGTGACCTGGCCTCTGCTGTCCCCCAGGGACATCACCTTAAGGTACAAGGAGACCCGGCGGCAGAAGCAGCAGAGTGACCAGGGCAGGGCTGTTGGCAACGGGGACGGGCACCCAGGGACAGACGATGACCTGCCTGGATCAGGAGCTGCCCAGGAAGGGGCCTCTGAGCAGAGGGTGCTGGCTGGGAAGGAGGGGCCCTCCACCACCTCCTGAGTGCCCGCCTGCCCGCCCAGGGCCTCACCCTCCAGGGGAGGAGGACTGAGGGCCATTCGGTCCACTCTGCACTGGGATCCTGGGCTCCTCCAGGGCTTGCTCTGGGCCGGGGGTCCCGCCCTTCCCCTGCTGCCTGGTCTTCCAGGGCTCTGGCTTGACACACTTGTGCCTGGCAGCACAGCCCAGCACAGGCCACGTGGGGACCTGTGTCCACTCACTGAGTATGGGCAGGGCTGCCCATCCTCCTGGTGACCCAGGGGAGAGAGGGCTCCACCAACACAGGATGACCAGGTAGTGGACGGACAGCAGCATCGAGTGCTTCCTCCGAGCCTTCGCCCAATCCCAACTCTCAGCAGGACATGACAGGGTCAGAGGCCGTGGGACTGGCCCCTCGGGCTTCACATGCCAGTCGGAGGCTCTGGGGCCCCAGGCACTTTTTGTGTGGGGGTGTTGTCTCTGCGAGCAAACAGAACAAATAAAGTGACCGTGGAGGTGGCAGCCCGTGTCTCCTCCCTGCTAACCCAGAGGGTACAGGGCCTGCGGGGCACAGCCCTCCTGGGGATCTGGAGAGTCCAGCAGCTGTGTGTGTCACGGGGCAGGGCTGGTGACCACTGGGGAGTGGCTGCAGAAGACGGAGCAGCTATCCTCTCAGGCTGGTATCTAAAAAATTTGAAGCCATTTCTTTCTATGCTGGGGACAGAACCTCACGCCTCCTACACCAAATGCTCCGCCACTGAGCGGTGCCCGGCCTGCCCCATTCTCCACAGGACACTGAGACCCCCACCCAGCCTCTTCTGTAGTGGGCACTGGGAGGTGCCTGGCAGGCTGCACAGCAGGACCTGCCTCCAGGCATCAGCTAAGTGTGCACCATCCAGTGCCCTGGCTTCCGAGGCCTTTTGAGTCTCTTTGCTCACCATTTTTGGGAAAATTTCAGCCCTCCAGAAGCTGTGCAGGCAGAATAGCATGCACACAGGCCTCACCCTAGACGCTAGAGGACAGGCCTTCTAGAGTGGCCCAGCGGGTGCCACTGGACCTCATGTTGTCTCAGGCCTGCACAGCGACCTCCCAGGGACACTGCCACTGCCACCTTCTGCTCAAGCATGTCGCTTGAGGTTCCTGACAGCTGTGTTTCCACTGCAAGGACCCCCCCCACTGGGTCCCTGGGGATCCCTGTGCACTGATGCTCCTTCCCACCGGGACCTGTGATAAACCTCCGTCCCCCGATGCTCCCTGCACGAGTGTTGACCGCTGCCCTGGACAGCCCCCCCAGCTCTGCACCTCTTCACTGTCAGGGCTGCAGGAGGCCCCGGCCACCTCTCTCCAGGAGCCCTGGTGTCTAGGGGAGTCACAGATCCCGGGCACCTTAAAGGGTTTTATAGTAGCAATACCAAATTGCTTCCCAGTCAAGTGTCCCACAGACCACATGGGCAGTCTCCCTGTCTCAACATGGTCAGGGTGGGTCACCTCTGGCCAGCTGGAATTGAGGGGTGGCCCCCACTGTCCTACCCAGGAGGCAGCAGTGAGAGCTGACAGTCTGGGCACCGGGTCAGGTGGGGTCAGGCTCAGTGGGAACATCAGGGCCAGCAGTTCCAAGGCCTAAAGCTGCAGGAGTGGCCTAGCCCGGGGGCAGCTCCCTTTCAGAAACCCTGCAAGGGTTCCCAGCCCACACATGGCGTGTCAGACAGCAGAGCCAAGCAGACCACCAGCATCTGAGAGCAGGCTCCTGAGGTATGAGATCCCAAAAGAGCAAAATACTGAAAATAAACCAAGTGCAGTGGCACACACTGGGATCCCAGAAGCCTGGGGCGGGAAGATCACGAGTTCAGAGCCAGCCTCAGTAAAAGCGAGGTGCTAAGCAACTCAATGAAGCCCTGTTTCTAAAGAAAATACAAAATAGGGGATGTGGTTTGGTGAGAGTGCCCTCAAGGGCACAACTGTGCACCACCCGCCCCCCCCGCCCCCCAAGAAAAAATCCCGAGCCTTTTTCTTCCTTTCCCTTCTTCAGTACTAGGGGCTTAACCCAGGTATACTCTACCACTGAGCTCCATCCCCATCACGTTTTATTTTCATTTTAAGACAGGGTCTCACTAAGTTGCTGAGGCTGGCCTCCAATTTGAGATTCTCCTGTCTCCCAAGTCGCTGGGATTACAGGCAGGCATCACTGCACCTGGCCTTTGTTCACACTTTAAAGGGGATTTTTTTTTTTTTTTTTGGTACTGGAGCTTGTACCTAGCGTCTTGCACATTATGAGGTGGATGCTCCTACCACTGAAGTATGTTGCAGCCCTTTTTAAAATTATCAAAGAGGCAGGTTCTTGGTAAGTTGCTGAGGCTGGCCTCAAATTTGCCATCCTCCTGCCTCAGCCTCCTGTTAACCAAATCATTCACAAACCATAGTGGAAATCCGCTGTACATGCAGTTGCCCAAAGAGCCTAGAAGTTTATCTTCCAGAAATGCAGATGTTCAGAAAGAACTCTTTGCTTTTATTTTGGCAACACACAATGCTTACACAGTCAATATTGTGGAAGTGTGTCTGCATGGAGTCAAAATTAGGGAAATACAGTCTGTACCTACATATTGAAGTGATGTGAAGACAAACCACCACACCAAGTTGTGGACAATGCTGACCTTTGAAAACTAAAAATGGAGCACACGAAAAGGTGCATTGCAGGAATGGCTGTGGGTGCCAGGAGCTGGTCTGTGCAGCTAGCAGCCACACTTGAAGCCTTGTGTGAGGCGTTGTCCTGTTTGGCCTCTTGGAGACACATCCACTCCTATTTTTTGTATGGTGCTGCTCTTGTGAGTTGCACATTCTGATGGACACCAGCATGGGCGCTGCCTCAAGCTGCCCAAGCTGGAGAGTCCCCCCACACTCACACGGCCACAGACCAGGCAAAAGTGACGCTGGAGGCAGAGCTGCTCTGCTCTGCCACCTCTGGCCCTGCACACGCCTGTTTCCAGCCAGCGGCCATTTCTCGGCTTCCCCAGGTAACGCGACTTTAATTCACCGAGAAAGCTCCTAGGATTTCTTCAGCTGGGAGGGTGGATTTCTTTTGGTACCAGGAGTGTGCTACCACTGAGCTGCATCCCCAGGCCTTTTTGGGAAGAAGGTCTTGGTAAGTTGCCTAGGCTGGCCTCAAGGCCTGTACCACCGTGCTTGGCATCTTGAGGGACTTCTTTCTGTAACACTAGAGATCGAACCCAAGGTCTGACCCCTGCCAGGGCTGTGCTCTTCCACTGAGCACACCTAGCCCCCTGGGATCTCAACAGTGCCCATGCCAGATCCCCTCAATATGGGCAGGACTCAAGGGTGAGGTTCCTGGGCCTGGCCTGGCTACCTAGCCTGCGGGGTCCTTTGGCAGCCTGTGCCCTGCTCAGGGCACTGTGTGTGAACAGGGCATTCTCCGCAGCTGCGAGCCACACAGGACCCACAAGGAAGGACAAGGATCCTCCTGCCAACAAGTGCTTTAATAACTATGCAGGGTCTCAAGCTCTCTTGCTGAAGTACTGGGTTAGGGCATTTCTTCCCAGTCAAAGCCAGGACACCAGGAGTAAGAGCCCCAGGAGGGACTGAGGATGCGGTGTCCAGGTAGATTTCAGAAACCGCAAGCAGGAACTCAGGAGATGACCCTCAGGGACGGCTTGAGTTCCTCCAGGGTCCGCAGCTGCTCTTCCATCGCCTCAGTCCAGTAGATGTCATACAGGCTGCACGTGGCAGAAAGGAGGGAGTGAACCAGAGCACCCACCGCCCGGCCTTCCCCGCTGCTCCTGAGCCCCGGTCCCCCAGCACTTGGCCACTTACACCAGCTGTTCCAAGACACAGCCAGGCTGCCGGAGACTCTCCACCAGCCGCTGTATGCCGGGGTCCCCCACGCAGTTGTTGCTCAGGTCCAGCTCCCGCAGGCTGCGGTTGACCAGCAGAGCCGTGGCAAGGGTGTCACAGCCACTGTCGGTCACGTTGCACTCGCCCAGCCTGAGCAGGGGCACAGGCAGCGTTCAGGACAGGCATGTCCAGTGTGCCACGGCCCACAGACCAGGACTCTGGGTGGAGCTGTTCCCAAGTGCCAGCCTTGAGCAGATCCTGGGCAGATGCCCCAATCAAGGATGGAGAGATGCACCTTGGCACCACGGCACCACCAGAGCCCACTGGGTCAGAGGAGTCAGTACCAAGGCCAGGGGGCTGCACAGGAGAACTGGGACAAGGCGATGGGTGGGCAGAGGCTTGTAGGTTCAAAGAAATGGGATGCAGTGGGACAGACCTAGCACCCACCCCAGAAACACGGATGCCCCAAGGGAGGGTGGTGAAGGCACAGCCCTGACAAACCTAATCAAATCAAGGAACCAGCCAGGCTCGCCTCCCCAGGCAGCAGATGGGACCCCACTTGCCAATAGCCAAGGCAGGCCCATGTCTCCCAGCACAAGACCAAGCTCCTCTCCACCTGGCTCCAGGATGGCATCCCCTGGGCAGGAGACTGAAGGACTGCTGTTCAGGCTGCCCATCCCACCCTCCATCCAGTGCCTGGTCCAGGATGACCAGCACCCAAGGAGAGCTGCCCACAGCAAGCACAAACAGAAAATCAGCAACAAACAGAAACCTAAAAGCAGAAACCCAAGTCTTTGTAGAGCCACATGCAGTGGCACATGCCCACAATCCCAGCCACTCTGGAGGCTGAGGCAGGACGATGGCATGTCCGAGGCCAGACTCCACAACTTAGCAAGTAATACAGAGGGCTGGGGTGTAGCTTAGTTTGTAGAGCACCAGGTCTGATCCCTCAGCTAGAAAAAGAGAAAACTCCCAAAATAAGAAAACTAGAAAGAAAATATTACAGGGAATGGGAACATCAGCCCGAGAGACCTAAGGGATGACTGCCAGGCACTCCAAAGAGAAGGAACTAGAGGAGAGAGATCACCAACATACAGCACCCCTCCAGGACCAAGGACATCCAACTCCAGAACAGACACTGATCTCTCAAAGCTTGCCGTGAAGAAAAGGCAGATCTGCAGGGAAAGTAGGACAGGTGCCTGCCTGAAAGCCAGAGTGACCAGAGCAGGGCACATGGGCTCCTCAGGCTGCTTCCACAGGATCCTTTCTTGGGGAGCTGCTGAAATGTGCCCAACCAAATGGAGGGAGCCTGGGAAGATGACAGCCAGGGGGCCCTGCAGAGGGTGGACAATGCTTCCAGCATTACGAGATGGCTGGGCCGGAGCCTAGGCAGCCATGGGACTCCATGAGCAGGCCCTCTGAGGGTCAGGATTAGGGGCAGAACCAAGCCAGCCAGAGCTGCACCCACAGCCCGGTACACGCACTGGCACTCACCAGAGTACCCGCAGCACGGCGCCCGGCTGGCTCAGGCCCTGGCAGAGCGCCTGCACACCTGCATCGCCCAGCTGGTTGCTGCTGATCTGCAGCTCCAGGAGGAACTTGTTCTGGGCCAGCACCGAGCGGAAGTAGGGGCAGCAGGCAGCTGTGAGGCCGCAGGTCTTGACCCTGTGGAAATGGAAGGGACAAGGCCTGGCTGGCTGGGGCTGGCCCAAGGCCACTCTCCAGAGCCCCTGCCCCTGGAATCCCTCCCAAGTGCACTCCATCAGAGATGTCCCCCCAAACACCACCCATTTTCTGGGCAGCTCACCCCCACTCTCCTGCCTGGTCCTCCCAGATGTGTATCCACACCTCAGTCCCAGCACTGTCCCATTCATGTCACCCCACTCCCTGGAGCCACAGGCCTCTCCCCACGCCTTGCTCAGCTCAGGCCCCTGCTGTCCCGGCCCAGGGCGCGTTCGTGCTCACCACAGCGACTCCAGTTGGCAGCCAGGCTCCAGCAGGCTCTCGCACAGCAGCCGGGCGCCCTCATCCCCCAGCTGGTTTTCAGCCAGGCTGAGCTCCTTGAGGCTCTGCTTGGCCTTGAGCACACGGCAGAGGTCCTTGCAGCCCTCGCCGGTGATGTCACACTCCCAGAGCCTATAGGGGCATCCATGCCGTGAAGGACGGATCTCACTCACCACATAGCTTATGGCCCCGGTGAGCGCCCCAACCGCCCCTCAGAGGGAGACGGGCAGCCTGCTCACCAGAGGGTCCTAAGCCTGCTGCTGGCACGCAGCAGCGCTGGGCACAGTTCTGCGATGCCCTCGTCACCCAGCTTGTTGCAGCCCAGGTCCAGCTCCTGCAGCGAAGCCTTGGAAGCCACAACAGCACTCAGAGCCTTGCAGTTGGCCGCTGTGACACCGCAGTTCTCCAACCTGGGGACAGGGTACATGCCTGAGGGGAGCCCTGGAGTCCGGCCCTACCCAGCCCAACCAGGCTGAGCTCAGCGCCTTGCATACTTCAGCATCTCCAGCTGGCAGGCAGAATCCTTCAGGCCTTGGCAGAGCGTCTGGATGCCAGCCTCCTGCAGGTCATTGTTGCTCACTGTGAGCTCCTTGAAGTCGGGCTTGGCCCTGAGCACCGTGGCCAGAGGTTCACAGCTGGCGGCCGTGAGGTTGCAGTACTCCAGCCTGTACACACGCAGGGTCTCAGTCCACCCTCCACGGAGCCACGGGCGGCCCAGGGGCAGTGTGTTAGCGAGGCACAAGGGTGCTGGTGTCTTGTCCCCCCATCCCCCCCCAGCCTTCCCCCTTGGCATTGGGCTGGGGTGCTGAGGACTTGTCTCTAGCTGCTGTTCGGGAACAGTGGGTGCCCACTGCCTCTAGCCTGTGTGCATACCACACTCCTTTGGGGAAAATCCTCATGACCAAGAGCCCCACTTCAAACTCAGGGATCTCCCAGGCTCCAGGAAGAACCATCCCTAATAGGCAGGTCTACCCGCTTGGCCACGGTCACACTTAAGAGTACCTCATCCCCAGACTTGGCAGGAATCTGCCAGCCCCTTTCAAAGAAGAGCCGACATCCGAGAAGAGGGGCACCGCCAGCCCCTGGAGCTCAAGTCCTGCCCTGAAGCCTCCTGAGGACACCACACAGGCGGGGCTCAGCAAGGACAGGCTGCCAGGGCACACACTCACTGCAGCTTCTCAAGATGGCACTGGGGGTCCAGGAGCCCTTCACAGAGCAGCCGCAGGCCTGCGTCCCCCAGAGGGTTGTCGTTGAGATGCAGTTCTCGCAGGGTGGACAGGGAGCGCAGCACGCCAGGCAGGACCCCACAGCCAGCCTCCGTCAGGCAGCAGTTCTGGAGGCTGGAACGCACCACTGTCAGCGGCCCCCGTGAGCCCGCAGCCCCTGCCTGCCAAGTCCCAGCAGCCCCTTGAGGGAGGCAGGGCACAGAAGCGCTGCAGGGCCCCCAATACAGGTGTGCCAGACCCTCACGCAGGACCTGGGCCTGGCATGAGCCCAGGGCAACCTGTCCCAGCACCAGGCAGCCATCTCTCTTGTGTGCCTCTGGCTAGAGCTGGGAGTGCTTGCTGGGGCCTCTGGTGGCTCTGCATACCCCACCACCTGGATGCCCAGCCCAGGCCCCACCCTACGTGAGCTGGGCTGTGCCCTGGCCTCACCTCAGCTTCTGGATCTTGCAGATGGGGCTCTGCAGGCCCTGGAGAACCAGATGCACCCCGGCGTCACCCAACTCATTGGTGCGCAGGCTGAGCTCTGTCAGGGAAGGGTTGACCCGAAGTGCAGAGCTAATGTCCTGGCACCGCACCTCAGTGAGGCCACAGTCATCCAGCCTGTGAACGGGATCCCTGGGTCACATGGGGTGGAGCCAGCCTCAGGCCCAAAGACCCTCTCATGCCACAGGCTGAGAGCCATCAGTGGCCAAGAAGTCGAAAGGTAGTCAAGTTGAAGCCAGCCTCAGCAACAGCAAAGGCACTAGGCAACTCAGTGAGACCCTGTCTCCAAATAAACACAAAATAGGGCTGGGGATGTGGCTCAGGTCGAGTGCTCCCGAGTTCAATCCCCGGCACAAAAAAAAAAAAAGTCACAGCCAGGATGTTTAAACATGAAACAGTCAGGCATGGTGGCACACACTCGTCACCAGAGCCACTCAGAAGGCTAGGTGGGCAGAAGCAAGTTGGAGACTAACCTCAGCAACTTAGCAAGACCTTCTGAAGATAAAATGTAAAGGGGCAGGTAAGAATGTTCACTTAATGCCAGAACACCTCTGGGTTCGATGGAAGGAAGGAAATTAAAAAAGGGAACCCAAACTAGGAGTGGGCAGGTATGGCTGCACATGCCGGGACCCCAACAACTCGGAGGCTGAGGCAGACAGCAACCAGGCAGCTGAGTGAGATACTGTCTTCAGTAACAAGTAAAGAAGGGCCCAACACAGTTGCACATGCCTGTATCCCAGCCGCTCAGGAGGCAGGAGGCTCTCTAGTTCAAAGCAGCCCCAGCAAAAGCAAGGCACTAGGCAACTCAGTGAGACTCTGTCTCTAAATAAACTACAACATAGGCTGGGGATGTGGCTCAGTGGCCGAGTGCCCGAGTTCAATCCCCTGAACCAAAAAAATACAATAAAAAGAAAAAGGGCTAGGGGTGCAGATCAATGATGGAGTACCACTGGGCCCACTCCCCAGTATGAAAAGGAAATAAAAATAGGAATGATCATAGATACTGGGCATGCTGTGCCCCCCACACCTTCTGCAGGGACCAACCCTGGAATCCCCCACGCAGAGCTGGCACGGGAGGCCAGAGGGACAGCAAGGCCAACTGAGGGGCTGAGCAAAGCCCATGGCATGGGCACGATGCCAAGACCACCCCAATTTCTTCCCCAAAATAACAGCTGGCAGATGTAAGGGCTGCAGCAAGGCAAGAGGGCCACCTGTGGACCCGAGAGAAGTGGGTCTGGGCAGAAGTCTGCTCTGCGCAACCAAAGGTGGCACAATAAGCAGCAGGCCCACAGCTTTCCTAGGTCTTGCCAATGTGTGACCACCATGAGAAGCTGGTCCACCACGAGAAGCCCACAGACAAGCCAGAGGGTGCCTGCATGACTCTGGGGCTCACAAGGCAAGTCAGCAGCACAGAGGGAGGGTAGGGCCTGGGGGCCGGGGGGGGGGCTCAGGAGACAAAGGCGTGTGGGATCCTGGGCAACCCAGAGGGAAAAGGACGCGGGTACAAAGCTGGTGCCTGGGCTTGTCCTTGGTGGGACATGCTGGGCAGTGTGACAGTCTCCATGAGATGAGGTCATCAGGGGAAGCAGGAAGAAGGCTATCTAAAACCATCTCTGATAGCAGCTACAAACAGACCAAGCGGGTGCTGTCTCAACTGTGAGCCTGAGGCACCTGGGAGAGCGAAGCTGAGGACAGAGCGTGGCAGGGGCAGCACAGCCACCAAGCCTCACTGCGCCTCGCCTGAGGATGGAGAGGGGCCTAGAGCCCAGGTTCCGGGCCGCCTAGTGCATCAGCCACTGCCCCCAACGCACACCACACCTGCCATCCACTAGAGCCTGTGAGGGTTCGTGTAGAAAAACTTTTTCTTCTTTTCCTTTCTTTGTGGTGCTGGGACAGAACCCACGTGCTAGGCCAGTGCTGTACCACGGAGCTGATGCCCAGGCTGGGAAACCACAGGACAGCATCTCATACCTCCCAGAACTATCAAGCACCTTCGCCTCCATGAATAGCAGCCTCCCAAGCACAGCGTGCCCAAGTGCATCGCCACCCCACCGCAGCTGCCCATACCTGACCACTTGGTACTGCTGGATCAGGGGGAGGAGCTCTGTCCACCTGGCATCACTCAGCTGCTCACAGTGGATGTCAAGACTCATGGTGGGCTGCAGTGTCGTCTGGGCAAAAGAAAGAGGAAAGAGAACCCCTCGCAGATTCCCCAGGCCCGGCAGACCAGAGATCCTGTGAGCAGGAAGAGTCCACCCAGAACCCTGAAGACGGACATTTCCAGAAGGGCTCCAGCCTCTCCGGCAGGTGCTTTCTCTGCCTTCTTCCCTCAAAATTCCCACCTGCTCATTCTCCAGGAGCAGATGTGTATCTATTGGCAAAGGTCACCCCAAGCAGCAGAGCTTGGGGACGCGGCTGTGGGACCCAGATGTCAGTTTCACCTCTCAGCCTACAGCCACAGCAAGTGTGGGCTGGGAAGCCCCTGCCTCTTATTCACCTGAGCAAGGATGGTGGGGGGGGGTGGAAACCCCAGAAGGGGGCTCAGCTGGCTTCCTGTCCTCTCAGAACAGGCAGGGTTGGCAGTGCCACAGTGCACTGCCAAGCTGTCCACAAAGCCAGAGCCCTCCAAGATGCAGGGTCCAGGATGGAAGCTGCCCAAACACAGCAGTGGGTGAAGCCTCCCCCAGCAGCCCTAGGACAACAGCTTCCATGACTCCAGGACAGGCCAGGGCACCTCCTCTGCCCCTCCCAGGCCCTGCCCAGGCTGGAACAGAGGCAGGTCACAGCCTGAAAAAACAAGGTATCACTGACTGAAGGGGGTTCCTGAAGCCGAGAGGACATGGCACCTACAGCACCCATACGTCTGGGGAAGAAGGGGAAGAGGAAGTCACCCTGTGGAGCACACATTCCCTGAGCTCTGCCAAGCAGGCCAGCTGGAGCAGCAGGGACACCAGAGGGTTCCTGGAAGAAGCGACTCATGCTGGGCTTCCAGTGCAGGGAAGGGTGGGGCAAGGGCTTCTCTTGAGGAGGATGACGTGGTCTATAGAGGTTCCTGAGTGTCTTCCCCTCTGCCGCCAGTGTCTGGCACAACTGGCCTTGTCCTGCCCCTTCCCTGGGGCTGGATCAGGCGGGAGCAGGGAGGAGCACCTTGGAGCCAACTTGGGGGGTGGCCCTTATGGGTCGTGGCACACAGGCCTGCAACAGGGGAAACTGAAGCAAGGGCAGGGGACACCTTGGTCACACAGCATCTCAATGAGGAGCCCTGACTGAACCCCGTTTGCTGCTCAGAGCACGTCAGCAAAACCGGTCCCGCCTGGGTCCCCTAGGAAGCCCAGGGTATGTCACCAAACCTCCTGGTAGAGTACTACCATTCAAAGGTCCTGGGTTCCATCCTCAGCATGGGAAAGGCCTGGGATGCAAACACAGACCCAATCTAAGTCTCTTGGAGGAAAACAGCTTAATAATTTTGTAACATACTCCCAAACTCTTGCCAGTTACAACAATTCTGACTGGCCTGGGGAGAGCCACAAGGGTACACTGGCTTGGCTTTTACTTTTTGGGGGGTACTGGATCTTGAACCCAGGGGCCCTTTACCACTCACGTACATTCCCAGTTCTTTTTATTTTAAGAGAGCATCTTGCTAAATTGCTGAGGATCTCAGCCTCCTGAGTTGCTGGGATTACAGGCATGTACCACAGTGCCCAGCGAGGTACAGGTTTTTAAACATGCAAAACACTGGTGATGTTTGAAAAAAGTCATGTGGGCATGAACAGCTTAGGGAAGTGAACTGCTAGGGAAGCAGGCCATCTCCTCAGATGCCTGCTCTCCTGCAGAGACGGCTGCACACTTGTTAGAAGGCACAGGCATTCATCCACCCAACTCTTCCCTGAGTACCGGCAGTGTGGAGGGCACTGTTCCAGGTCTCGTTGTCCTCAAGGAGTTCAATAAGGCAATCTGGTACCACGAAAAGGCCAGGGAAGGCTTCCAGGCCAGCCCAGGCAGTCTGAAAGAAGGAGCGAGCTGACAAGGGAGCTGATGGAGAAGCGGTGGACTGGAGTTCTGTCTCAGTCATTAGGCTCCATGCTCACTGCGGATCTCAACTAACTTCATGTTCCAGGGTAGCTCAGAGTCCCAGGAATCAGGAGCCAGGAACTAACCAGAGGACTGAGAGGGCCAGTTCTTTTGGGGTTATAAGGTGAAAAGCTACAACTGGGGGAAATTTTTTGGCCAGGCCAGCCAACACGTGTTGCTATAGTTCTCTGGGTGTCCACAGACAAGGCCCACCAACTGGGTTCCCGCAAAGCAGGAGGGTGGGCAGAGAGCACACACACCCTTCCAGGATCCCCTCAGAGAGCAGGCCCGCGGTGTGTCCAGCACCTGCCAAGTGCTCAGGGCCATCAGTGAAGACAGGGAGCACCTCTCCCCCTCGATGCAGGAAAACAAGGTACTGCTGGCTTCTAGCAGAGGCTTCTGTAGCCTGAGAGTGAAGGGCTCAGTGAGCCTCTGGGCGTACTGTGTCCAACCAACTTCCGTTTTTTTTGTGTGTGGGGGACAGGACTGGGGACTGAACCACTAGCCACATGAAGCCCTTTTTATTTTGAGAGAGGCTCTTGCTAAACTGTCCAGGCTGGCCTTGAATTTGTGATCCTCCTGCCTCAGTATCCAGAGATGCTGGGGTTAAAGAGGTGCAGCAATTTTAAGGCTGATGTTGAGAGGGGGATATTGCCCTAATTTATCTGAGAGGGCCCAGAGTGATCACAAGGGCACACAAACTGGAGGGAGGCAGATTCTTAAGACACTGATTAAGGCCAACAAACTGATTCTCCTTTGAAGCTTACACAAGGAATCAGAACATCTCCCCCCGCATACACACACACCTAGATTTTAAGCCCCTAGTACATTTTGAACTACTCAGAAGTGGTGGCCACACACCTGTAATCCCAGGGGCTCGGGAGGCTGAGGCAGGAGGACAGTTAATTCAAAGCCAGCCTCAGCAACTCAAGGATATCCTGTCTCTAAATAAAATACAAAAACGGGCTGGGGGTTGTGGCTCAGTGGTAAGCACCCCTGGGCTCCATCCTGGGTAAAAAAAAAAAAAAAGTGAAAAACGTGTATACTGCCCAGCATTGTGATGCATGCCTATAATCCCAGCAACTTGGGAGGCTGAGGCAGGAGGATCACAAGTTCAAGGCCAGCCTCAGCAACTGTCTCAAAATAAAAAATAAAAAGGGTTGGGGATGTAGCTCAGATGTAAGCGCTCCTGGGTTAAATTTACAGCACCAAAAAATAAAAAGTACGTATGCGATGTTACTTCCAATGGCCGCATTACGTGCAATTAGTCTGTATTCAACTGATTCAACCGAACCGTACAGGTGGTCAAGCTGTCTTGAGATTCCCAGGCTCTCTTCTACCCTAGCAAGGGGCCTCCTGAAACGCTGCCAAACCCCACAGCTGTCGCGGCCCAGGCGCGGACACCTGGCTGGTACGAAGTGCCCGGAGCCTCGGCTTCTTTCAGGCAACAGCCCTCCCCGCGGCCCCCAGAGGGCGCTCTCGGTTACCTGCCTCTGCTCCGCACCTGAGCGGCCCCCCGAGTGCCCACCGTGCGAGGCGGCGCCACCCGAGCCCCGTCACGACCCTGCAGTTCTCGGAGAGCCGAGAAACCAGAAATGCCGCTTCTTTCGAGAGAATAAGATCAGGGGTCGCTCAACTGAGGGACACAGACAGGCTGCGCCAGGCCTGCGGGCGTAGCTGGCAGACACCAACCGTCACGAGGTCCCCACCCGCGAAGAGGCGGACCACGCAGGCGCGCCCGCCAGCCCCCCCGGGCTCCCAGCGTGCCCCGCGGTACGCACCGGCGCGACGAGGTCCTGGGGCGCGCCGGAAACCGCCGGAAATCGCCGGAAACCGCCTCGCCCGGCCCCTCCTCCCCGCCGCTCCGCCCGGGGAGTGCGAGTCGCGCCGGGTCGCTAGGACCGCAGGGGCGCCCGGCGCGCATCCACAGGACGCCCGGCTGAGGCCGGCGCGGGGAAGGGCCGCCTGAGCTAGCCGGGCGTCACACTGGCCACGGGGTGACGCAGCGCGTGGGGACTGACCTGGAGACGACCGCGGGCTGCCGGGGCTGAGAGCGACAGTGCCCACTTTGACTGGAGCAGGCGGAACGGCCGACTGGGGCGAGGTCTCCCGAGGACCGCGCAGCCGGCTGGCGGGGCGGAGCCGAGCCTCGGGGGCAGGGCCGAGCCGCTCAGGGCGGCGGCCGGCCTCGCGGTAGAAGGGGGCCAAGCCTAGGGGGCGGGGCCACGGCTGGGGGCGGGGCCATGGCTGGGGAGGCGGGGTCACGGCTGGAGGAGGCGGGGCCTCGGCGCCCCGCCCTGCTCCCGGCGGCCCGCGTTCCGGGTAGCTGCCGGGCGCGGCACCGAAGGAAGTGCTGAGGAGGCCCGGGGGGAGTGGAGCCGAGGGAGAGGTGGCCGGCGCTGTTTGGCTGTGTCGTGTTGGGGATTTCCGCATTCACCGTGGACCCCGGACGGACGCCGCAGGCGCGACGGCTGGGCCCGCCTCCACCGGAATTAGTTTCCGGAAAACTGCCCGAAGGTCCTGGTTCCCCCGGCTCGGTGGCGTGGTGGCGCTGCCTGTAGTCACGTCGGCTGGGGGAGGGCCACCTCCGCCACGCAGCGAGATCCCGCCCGTCCCAGAAAAAAGTCAGGGCTGGGGCTGGGCGCGGTGGCCACGCCTGGAATCCCAGCAGCTTGGGAGGCTGAGACCGGAGGATCGCACGTTCCAAGCCAGCCTCAGCAATGGTGGGCACTAAGCAACTGAGTGAGGCCCTGTTTCTAAATAAAATGCAAAAATAGGGCTGGGGTTGTGGCTCAGTGGTCCAGTGCTCCTGAGTTCAATCCCTGGTACCAAAAAAAAAAAAAAAAGTTAGGACTTGGGATGAAGCTCTGCGGTAGAGCACCCCGGGATTCAATCCTCAGTCCCTAAAGTTAGTGAATACAGCCCTAGGTTATGTCAGAGTCTCGGGTTTGTTGGAATTCTCATAATGTGAAGAAGCCATTTCAAATATCGCCCAGAAGCTGTCTAGCTTCTTTTGGTGACACCCATGGGGACAGGAAGGACCTGCTGAGAAGTCCAGCAGTGGGGAGAGTCGCTAAAGCCACAGGGGCCACTTGGGTTCCTCACACAAGTTTGTTCTTCAATCTTAGCTGACCCATTCATCCATGTGGAATTTGGAAGACAGAAGCAGTCCCACCTCCCCTTCTTCATCCCCCAGAGGGAACCACTCTTGCCCCTTCTGGTGGGTCCTGGCTGAGCCAAGCATACTTAGTCTTCCTGATCCAGCCTTAGACAGCGGAGCAGTTTTAAGTCCTCATCCCTTCCTCTTCCCATCTAGCCCCTCTCTCATGCCCGCTGTTGGGACCTTTTACCTCCCTTGGAACCGCGGCCATTATTGGGTGTTGGCTGAGGCAGCATCATGGGTTAGCATTTCCGTCTACGTGACCTGGCTGGATTGGCGCACTCGGGCTTTTGACCTTAGTCCCACCTAATGGTTTAATCTGAAATCTGCCTAGGCCCCTTAGTGACAGTGACCGTAACTGCTCCTTATCAGTTTTCGCTACTGTCTCTTCTTACTCCTTCTATCACTATATAACCTT